TTTTTTTACTCTATCGTCTATACTAGACAATTATAAGAAATCTATTATAAACAATGAAGAGTTTGACCATTCTAAATCAGCATAATCAACAATCATGTGATTCACCTCGATCGGTATTTTCATTACTTTTAATAATTAATGTCTTATCTCTTTAATTTTTTTTCCTTATAGCTCATGTCAGACGTTATCGATAGTAGTTCAAACACAAGTACAATTGAATCAAGTCGTAGTTCAAAATCAATCCTTCAATTAATCACATGGTAAAAAAGATTTAATTTCGAAACATTTCTATTGATCTTATTCTAGTCCAATTTGCCTTGAAATTTTTCGTGAACCATTGCAACTTCCATGCCAACATACCTTTTGTAAATCATGTCTAGAACGAATAACAGATGATCGTTGGGGTCGATGTAAATTACATATTATTTGCTACTTTCATTTTTATTTCAATATATATATGCATTCGTATATAAATATATAGGTCCTGTATGTCGTGGATGTTATCGGGTACCATTCGCTGGTGTTGGTTCATTTGAAGTAAATCGAACAATTGTAAATCTACTTGAAAGTCTTCCACATACAGAAGCAAAGCCAATGCTTAAAGCTAAATGTGCTTTTTGTAAATTAGAAGATACAATTACTGTAAATATCTGAATGATTCTATTGAAATAAAACTAATATCGAAATTTTTTTCTTTTATCGATTAGGTTTGTGAACATTGTCGAGAAGCCATATGTCGTAAATGTCGTCGACAACATTATGATGATTTTTGTAAATATATTAGTACAAAATTACATGAAACTCAACAAGAAACAGAAAAATTAATTGCTAAAGAAGGTAAAATATACATATATAAATATTTTTTTGAATAGAAAAAAAAGCACGAGAACTTTTATTTATTATATTAAAGCGGAGAATATAAAAAATCATGAAGATAATGTTCGTCGTTCAAAAGATATTGCTAATGTTATTCGTAATAAAGTAACAGATCTGATTGAAAAAATAAAACAAGAAGAAACGAAATTACTTCATAATGTTCAAGAATTTAGTAATTCTGAACAAAGGTAAATACTTTTGTTTTTGTCTATGTAAATCTATTTATTAATTTATATTTAGATTAATTGATGAGAAAAAAAGTCGTCTTCAAGATCTTTCAACAATTAATAAATTCTGTTCTGTATCACAAGAAAAATTACACAGGTAGGTTTGTTTGAGATTGAATACAAAATAATCTTTGGTTTTCTTTTTGTTCGATTGTAGTAAAGAAGAAACAGATCAAGAAGCAGTTGATATTCGACAAAAATGTGAAGATTATGTACTTAGTATTAATGATCTTCAAAGTCAAATACTTGTTGTTAAAACACCTATTCGTCGAGTAAGATAAGAAATAATTGAAATAATTTTGTTAACTATTTATTATTTTAAATATAGATCTCATTTTTTAATCGAGATATATCACCCGATGCTATATCATTGGGTTTTGTTGAAATTGGAATGATACTTGAACCTATTGAGAGTGCTGTTCAACTTTCATCTGCATTTCCATCAACAATAACATCATCAACGGATGTTGATTTACAACAATGTCCAAAACAACTTTTTCATTGTTTAAGTGCAACATTACAACAACAAAATGAGAATCCAAATGGTCCATCACCATCTTATCGTTCTAATATATCAATATCTGATAGTAATGGATGTTGTCGTCAACAACAACAACAACAACAGCACCATCATCATCATCGAAGAACACCACGTATTATTGGTAAACGAGGAACACGTGATACAGAATTTATGCATCCCTCATCATTAGCTTATTCAAAACGAGATCAACTTATTTGTAAGCAAAAAAAGAATTTCTATGGTTTCTTTTTTCTATTTCGTTTTCTTTTTGATTCTATATAGATGTATGTGATACATATAATAATCGTCTTGTAACATATAATATGGATGGTGTTTTTCAACAAGTTTATACAGATACGAATGAAACAGGTGAAATACGTTTCTATCATCCATATGCTGTTCATATTGATTCTGATAATCGACTTTATTTAATTGATCAATCTGAACGACGAATAAAAGTATTTAATCGAGATTTTAAATTAATTCGTGTTATTGGACAATATGGTCGAGATGTTGGTCAATATTCAGCTCCATGTGATTTATGTACAAATCAACAAAAATATATATTTGTATGTGATGCTGGTGGTCATCGAATATTAAAATATAATGAACAAGGACAATTTCTTCTTGCTTGGGGTGGTCTTGGTACTGATAATGGACAATTTAAATGTCCAGCATGTGTATGTGTATTAAGTGGTGATCGTCTAGCTGTATCTGATTGGGGCAATGATAGGATACAAATTTTTAATAGTGAAGGCGATCATTTATTATCAATTGGTCAACGTGGTAAACTTTTATCAGAATTTTCTCGTCCATTAGGTCTTGCATATGATGAAACAACAGAACGATTATTTGTTTGTGATGAAGGAAATAATCGAGTGACAATATTCAATCATGATTTTACTATAACAGAACTTGTACATACAAAAATTGGATTTCATGGACCATATGATATCTTATTACTTAAAGATGGTCGAATTATGGTATCTGAACACCGAGCACATCGACTACAAATTATTTAAAATAATAAGTTTTTTTTTTTCGTTTTTGCTTTTTTTTCTAATAATAAGTTTTATTGAGGTCAGATGTGAACCTGAATATACATGAATTGGTATATGTGTTTTTAAAAGTTTTTTTTTCTAAATATTTCTAATGTAAAATTGAATATAAGCTACATTTGAAATAATAAACTCAAGCAAGTATCTCATCATAAATATATTTAACTATCTTTATTTGTTTTTCATTTATTGTTAGTTTATAAACATAGAAAACAA